AACCAAAATCAAAGTAGACTATCACTCACCCACACCAGATGGAAAACTCTATAGACTGTCGGTTCACACCCCATCACAAGCCAGCAAAACATCCACGAAACAAAGAAAGGTCTGTCACAGCCATATATATATATATGACGATATATATATGTGACGATATATATAAACTGACATTTCGTTAAAACTACCATTTTTTTTCTAAATTCATAAAATTGAGCGTACCAAAAAACAACATTTTTTAGTGTTTTTTTGTCCCCATGACGTCGGATGATCAGATCATCAGGTGTCGTGGCGACTCCCAATGATCTGACCATCGGATGTATGTTAACGGTACTTTATGTTGAGGTACATCAGATGGACAAAGTGAAATAACCACTTTCTCACCTGATGAGCAATGAAATTTTGACTAAGTTCACTTTCGTGAATTTAGAAAAAAATGTCAGTTTTAACGAAATGTCAGTTTATATAGGGTTGCCAGGCCGAACGTACGGAGGCCCCTAAGCTGACCCCCGAACGTTCGGGCGTTCGGGTCCCCGTATGGGGGCTGAACCTGAAGGGGTTGGAACCCCGCAAAAAAATATTTTGGCACCTAAATATTATTTTTTTTTCCGAATTTTGTTTTGTAAGTTCTTTGTGATATAAGGTATCTCCCTCTAAATTTTGAAGCCATTCTGTTCAGCCAAAAAAATATAAAAATCGGCAAAGATGGTGGTGTCAAAACTTGCTTGACCACATATTGCAGCATTCTGACCCAGCAGATGGCTCCCCTTGTGATTGCATCATTCTGACCCAGTATTCTGGTATTGCTTCTTTTGGGCTCTTATAATTCTCCTCCACTGACTTCAGTCGATGTAGCGGGGCTTTGAGGGACTCTACTGATCTCCACTGCCCTGCATCACTATCCCACAAATCCTTAAGTTGTACCACCCTTTTCTCGACTCATGCTCTGCCGAAGGCCCCTTTGTTGCCATCTGCGAGAACGGATTTCCCATCTATCTGTTTGATAAACTTATTCTCGAAGAGAATTTGGTTCAAGATTCCTGATTTAATAGACGGAGGTTTGAAGGAGGTGGGGAACACCACGTACTATGCGGACATGATATTTTTCCAAAGTTTCGATTTTGGGCGTCTGAGACAAAATGAAGGAATAAATACACAATTCCAGACATCCGTGGGTCTGGCCAATTGCCATTCCTTGGTCAGTAGGTATTCTGCTAGCTTGACCCACAGTTTGTCCCTGCTTCCAAATACAACAGAAATCACCCATTTCCCTAGGAGGCCCCGGTTTTGCTGGACTGGGTCCAAAATCCCCAGTCCTCCTTGGTCCCTGGGATTAATTACCATATCCCAAGCCACCTTGGGCAGTAAGCTCTGACTTTCTGATGCTGCAGGTTTCCATAAGTAGCGGGCTGACGCCCTCTTTATCTTCAGATAGGCCCTTTCTTCCAGCAAGCATACTGATAATGGGAACCACAGGATGGAGAAGGCCGCTGCTAACAGCACGAGGGCTGTGTCGTAGAGAGAGAGCTTGTGATTTCGGATCCATCCCGCAATTCAGGCGGAGACCTTGTTCTCCAATATCGAGTCCTGCACATCCGAAGCATCAACAAACGAGACTTGTACTCCCAAAAAACGCTCAGATGAGACCGCAGGTGTCTTAAACCCCAGTCCACACACAACTCTTTGGGCGGAGGTAAAAAGAAAGCTGATTTATCTCAGTTAATGGAAGCTTCTGACAATTCGCAATAATTATCTAAGACCTTCCTTAACTCTTGGAAAGATTCTACTGTATTCTCACCCGCGATGGTCAGATCGTCTGCTAGTGCTCCTCCCTTCCACTGCGCTTCAAGTTGATTATTTATCCTAAGACCTTCTATCTTATCATTTGTGCGGAGATTATCAAGCAGAACTTCCAATTGAAGTACGAATAGCAGGGGGGCTAGCGGGCACCCCTGACGCAGTGAGCGTGTAAGAGGAAATTCTTCTGACAGTCTTCCGTTCACTATTACTATGGATCGTGCATGACAATAGTTGGCCTCTATACATCTATAGAATGCCTCCCCAAAACTCATCTTACCCAGAGTGGTGGCAACAAAACTCCAACCTACCTTATCGTATGCCTTCTCCATATCAAGGAGAAGGACTGCCACCTCCCTTTTTTTTTGACCTATGACTTCTAATGCTTAGACCATAGATAGTATATTCCCAAAGATAGATCGGCCCTTGACAAAAGCACCATGTTCCCAGCCAGTGAGGTTTGGTAACAGGCCCGCCAGGCGTATAGCAAGAGTTTTAGCAAACAGTTTATATATCACGTTTAATAACCAGATAGGCCTCCAGTTTTTGACTTGCCGTTTGTCCCCCCTTCTTATACATCAAGGAAATCATCATTCTGGTGGAACTAGAGGGGAGTGTTTCTGTTGCCATGACCCTGTTGTGTATCTCACACAGAAAAGGGGCAAAGGCTGACGGGGCCGCTAAGAAGAGTTCAATAGGCAATCCATCCAGCCCTGGACATTTTCCAGTCGCCCTGCCGATCTCTTCTTGTGACATTGGCATATCCAACGCTTTTCTCGCGCTAGGTGAGATCACTTACAGTGACTGTGGCCAAAACTCAGTGTATTCTGACAATTCACAGTTCGGGGGATCGAAGGGGCGTCTCGTGGAGACTATATCTCTATAGTACTCCAGGGCGTATGCACACATATCTACCGTATCCGTAGCTGTAGGGGCCTAAATAGCAAACGGGTGTGAAAACTCTCTTATCAGCGGTTTGGATTGTCTGAGGAGTAATGACCTATAGGTAAGTTTGGTTATTTTATTATACCCAACCACTCCTCTAATTTTTAACCACTCGATCCATTCCATCTATTTCCTAAGATCTAAGGCTTCTAACTGTGATAGGTATTCTAGGCGTTTTTCTGACCAATAATAATCGGAAAATGGGTCCAGACCTATCTGTGATTCTGCATCCCTAACAACTTTTAGCAGTACTTTTTCTTGCCAGTTTCGCGTGGCTGCATTTATCCTTGAGAACTCCTTGAGAGTCGTCTGTACTAGCGCAATCCCTGTTTCCACCCACTGGTCTATGTCCTCAAATAGGCTCCTTGCATCAGGCCAGGCTGCCATGTGAGTAGATACCCATCTTACCAACCCTTCGTCTTTTAACAGATTTACGTTAAGCATGAAGGGCGGTCGATGCCTCTCCACCATCTCCTTCGAGAGGATGTCCTGCAGCACCGGGTAGTGATCGGAGGTGGTAGAAACTCCCAAATCGCACCACATGCTCCAATCCCACGGTGAGCCTCTTACCAAAAAGAAGTCGAGGCGCTTCCGAGGGGCTAGAGTGGTCTGTGTTGGCTTATTCCCATACCATGTGAAACCATAGGCATCTGGATTGAATGTTATGAATACGTCAGTTAATGCCTGGGCTTCCACAAAGGATGATAGCATTGTAGTACCTGCCCTTATAGGTTTGCATCGGAGTGAGTCGAGTCCCGGGTTGAATAGCGTGTTCCAGTCCCCGACAAGAATCGTACCTGGTATATAGGCAGGTAGGTTGGCCAGAAAGTCGACCCTATTTTGGTAATGGATTGGGGCGTAAACTGACATAACCACCCATTCCTCCTCATCTATTGTTATCTTTACCCAAACCCAGCGTCCTTCCGGGTCTGCGTAGTGATCTAATACTTCTACTTCTCGGGATTTAACAATGAGGATGGAGGTCCCCCCTTTTGATCCTACCGCGGGGCCCCAGAACTGGGGTCCATCCCACCATGTTTGAAAGACTGCTATTTTAGGCTCGTTTAACTTTGTTTCTTGCAAGCAAATTATCTGCACATTCTGCGAAGAAATCCACGAGCGTACGCTTGAATTCTTGGGTCTACCGTTCGAATCTCCCATTCCACGTACATTCCACGTAATCAACCTAATGTGGTTTGGCAGGACCACTGCCCCGACCATTACCGCGAGAAATTTGGATACAGCCAACTGTAACTACCTTTCCTCTGCCCTGCCCTGTCTGTACGTCTCCTGCTCCCGTTTCGACTACCGACTCGGGGCCTATCGGAATGGGAGGTGGGGTGTATGCCAAGCTGTCAGAGAAGGCCACAGAATTGAACACATCTACCAAGTGATTGTGGGTAATCCACTCGACAACTGTGTATGTTGTTATGCCTTCGCACACCTCAAATTCATTCAATGTATCTATACCTATGTCCAAGAAGTGTGCTAACGGAGTCCAATCGACCTGTTGGGTCCTCAGATCTTCGAGGGACTGAGGAGCTCCCTGCAGCTTCATAAAGGCGAGGTGTAGCATGTATTTCACTTTAGGTGAGTTAACAATGACCCTGCCTCTCTTCGGATTTGCCAATACGACACAAGAGAGGTTTTATGTCAGCACTCACTTTTTTATTTCAGCTGCCAGCTGAGTCTATGTTGGCTGGCCTGTCACTGGGAACGTTGGGAAGTATGTCGATTCGTTCTTGTCCAGTTTCGCTAATACCATTGGCCCATATGGCGACTGTATGCAAATCAATGGTACTGCCACCTCAGTGGTTATTACTTTGTCCGCACGCCCCAAGGTGCCCATGGGAAGGGCTAGGGAGAGGGATGGTTTTACCGTTCTCCCTTTTCGCTCCCGGTGGTTATATACTGCTGGCTTAGTGGCTTTCTGGGTCCTGCCAATTTTGGCAAAGGAGGCTTCGGCTGCCCTTAGGGCTTGTTTCTGACCGACGGCATCGTCCTTTGCCTTGTCACTATCTGGAGTCGACAGTGCTTCACGGCAGTCCGCAAAATCTTCCTCCGAAAAGGATTCTTTTGAGTCTGCTTTCTGAAGTGCAGCCTTCTCTGTTGTTTCATCGAAAATTTTGTTCCGATAAATTTTGATGTCGGGGGTATGATCAGGGGTCTCGAGGGAAGCAAGCCCTAGTTTCTCTACATCCATCCCTTCCTCCTCCTCTTCACTCATTTCGCTTTCCGAGGTTGAGGCTTCCCCTTCCTTCTCTCCCTCCGAGTCTTCATCTCCCAATTTACCTTTCTCTTCTTCCTCTTCCTCCTCCTCTTTTCCCTCCTCCTCCTCCTCTTCCCCTGTCTTACTCCTCTCGGTTTTTTCCTCTTTCCCCTTCTCCTTTTGTTGATCCTTTTCGTCTTCCTCATCCAGTAGCGGTTCTTTTTCTCGCTTTCTTTTCTCTCTTCCTGTTGCCGTCTTATCTTCATCCATCCGATCTTTGTCCCCATCCTTCTTCTCGAATGAGGCTTTCTCAATTTCCATTTTCGTTGTCGGGTTGAGATCTACAGGCTTCACGGGCTTCTCCTGTGGCTTCCCTACTCTCTGAGGGGGAGGGAAATCCTTGTGAGTCACCCCCTTCATTGTTTTATCGGCAACTTCCTTCTGGGGTGGGGGTGGGTGGGGGCCTTGCGGCCCCTTCGCCCTTTTGAGATCGTTCTTCGGCAAGGGGACTTTCCCTTTGCTTTCGGATCCGAGTTCGGTTTCCCGGATTTCGTTTTCTCTGCATATGATATGCTTTTCCCTTTTCCTTTCGAACAATCCGGGTCCCCTTCCGCGTGAAAGTGTTGGCGACACGCTGGACACCACGGGGTCGACACACAAACCACTTCGATGTCGACGAAACCGTTGGTACCGAGGTCGACTACCAAATATTTTTTATATCGCAATCGTGCTGCCGATTCTAGGTCAAACCGGATGTTTAATAAGTCCGGGGCCATCGGGTCTTTGTAGGTCGGGAATTCTTTAATGACCTTGCTGAACGCAGCTTCCACCGCACTGTAAAGTGGGGCTGGGGCTGCCACCGAGACTTGATGGCATCGGATCCAGACGAAACTATGTCTAGCAACCTCTCACCATTCCCAAAACTCTTGCTCTGTCATTCAGGGGCGAAAGGAGATCGAATACATTTTTTTGTCCAGTTCTATCTTTGTTCGCCCCACTTGCAACATCCACGTTGCTATCTCCTTAGCAGGAGCCACGTATGTCACTAAATTTTTGCCTTCATTATGGAATAAACCCGTCTTTGGTGGGACTGCAAACTGACACGCAGATGCCCAGCCGTTCTCATATAGTCTAACTAGGCGTTTCTTAACGTCGACCAAGAGCGCTGTTGACTCGTCTCCAAAGAGGATTGTGACTGCATGATCACGCAACCATCCCGCTTGGACTCGGATGATTTTAGGGTTGACAATGACTCGTACGTAGTCCTCCCCTACTTCTACGGTGTTTCCCATCTGTGTAGCATTGAGACAGAATCCCCCTAATTCACTGTACCTCTTCATCTGTCAGAGATGCATTTCCATCCGTCTGTTCCTCCATTGGAGTAGCCATCCCTAAAGAGTCCTACAACCAGAAAGAACAAGACCACCCTAACCTAGCCTACCAGGCTTATAATAAGTTAGGATAGACAATGCTTTCCAAAACCTCCGCCCTCAGTTTTTTTATGGAAGGGGGTTATACCTGGCCCTATAGGTTCATGGCTTCCTTGTCACATAATCGCTTTGTTGCCTGCAGCGCGTAGTAGAAACCAATGTCTCCTACTTCACTACATCGCAACGCCGTTCTCCTCTTGCCTCGAAATTGCATATCTCCATGAACAAAATTTTCAAGCAAATGGCCAAAGGCCCTTGCACTAGAGGGAAACTGTCCAGGTCCCTGGTATTCCTCCAGCGACACTCACCCCAGCGAATTACGTTGTGCACAGCCCTGCATCCTGCTTCGACCTCGGGATTGCCGAGGACGAAGCCCTCCGAAGGACCTGCCGAGCTTCGTCACTAAGCCTAGTACGCGGGGCTTCGCTACCGTTCTCGGAGGGGGTACGCGGAGCTTTACAACCGTCCCCGGAGCCCGTACGAGGAGCTTCCCTACCGTCCGCGCGACTCCCCGGTAGTGAGTCGCGTTGTTAGTGCAGCGGCGATAGCGCAACGTTCCCCCAAGCCGAGTCAAGCGCCCTTCCAAATGCTACCGTCATTTTTTTATTTTTATTTTTTAAAGTAATCTATATTCTTTTCTCAATCTATTTCATCTTTTCTTTGGTAGTACGCATCGATCTCATCCTCTCACTAGTCTATTTATAGTACGGGGGAAAACCAACCAGCCCGGATCTCTCCCGAGCCCACCGGGTAGGTTTGCACCACAACTGTGGTGCGAGAGCAAGCACATCCGGCGCACAAAAGAAGAAAACTCTCAAAGTACCCCTGGACTGCCTGCGTATTGGAAGGAGCAATTGCTTGAGAACACAACAAGGAATCGAAAAAAATTCAGCGCTACGGGACGACCAGCGAGACTACCACCCGGCGTGAGGGCTGAGCTACATCCCCAATGCCCTAACTCTCGCTCGACGGGCCTCGCTCCACTACCCCCTAAATACGCAAAACGAGACTGAATCTTGCTGTAGAACATGGAAAGGTGCACCGCCGTTGCCTTTTTTTTAAAAAGTAATCTATATTTTTCTCTCAATCTATTTCATGTTTCTTGGTAGTACGCATCTATCTCATCCTCGTTGCTTTTTTTTTTTTTTTTTTTTTTTAATTTGAAGTCGCAGTTTGTATTATAGAAAATTGGAGAACTGAGGTCGGGAATCCCTCAACATCTTAACCCGAAATTCCTGGGGCCAATACCCAGTTTAGACTTGACTGGAAACCGGGTCCAGTGTCCCATCTACGGCAACTTCAACCAAAAAAGAAAATCGCAGTTGGACTAACAAATTCCAAAATCAGAAATAAGAGAGGCAACCACTAAGCAAATTAACCAGTTATTCTGCTATTCTGACTGGGAGCCGTACCCAACTTCGCTTAAAGATATTACAGAAAAGAGGATAGTTCTCGGACTACCTCGAATGAAGAGACCTTGCTTACATTGGCAGGAGACCATAGCCTAATGTGACTAGCCAAGAAACGACAAATACCCAATGATCAAAGCAAACTACGGAGTTCTATCTGGAGCAGGTGATTTGCTAAATTCCGAAGAAGATCCATCAAAACCAAAAGAGAAGCCCGTCGGACCAGCTAATAGCAGTGTGGAACCTGGGTTGTCATGACAAGGTTTCCCACCTTGTACCCTTGAGACTCTGTAGGGAGTACCGTATTCCAGGTACTCTAGATCTCAATGGTTACAACCCAAATTTCCTCTTTTATCAACTAAATGCTAATCGGTTGTGCCCTAAGTAGCTCAGCAACACTGCCACAACCACTAGTAGGTCTCCCACTACCTCCAGTCATTCCGTTGCCTGCTATGGACAAACCCAGTATAGATACCAAAGGAGAAGAACTTAGCAAGGAACCATCAGGTGTGTTACAAACTAGAGGAAACCAAGCAAAGCAAAGAACACCAACAATCTAAGCTTACACCGTAATGAAGCTAAGCAACAAAAGGAACACTAACAATCTAAGTTCACACCGTAGTGAAGCCAAGCAACAGAAAGAGCACCAACACTTTAAGTTCACACCGTAGTGAAGCCAACCTCCGACAAACATTTCGTTCCTTCGCCAGAGAGGCGTGTGCTAGCGAGCGTGGTACAGCTAGAGCCTAGAGATAGAGGGGAGCAGGGATCTGGTCTGTAAATCCGGTCAGATGCAAAACGCGAAGAAAACTACACTACAGCCCAAACTAGAGGAGAAATAGAAAACAGGCCAATGAATTTGGTTAGATGCAAATTGCCTATAGCTCAGTCTGTGGACCGTAGAAAATTGAAGATGCTAAATCCCTTGTTTATTCGTCCTAAATGTTGCGTGCAAACAAACCAGCGTATTGATGTCAACAGGTGAAGATGAGAGATGAGCAACGGCACGTGCAATCAGTGAGGGGGCAGCAGTCGGAGTTATCTAGGACTAAGAATTATGAGGAGCCGATGCAATACTAATAGCCTAGTAATAGGCAAGTTCTGGGCCTACCATGTTTGTGAAAGGAAAAAGGGGTGAATCCAGCCATTGAAAGGGAGTGAATACAGGCCGTTAGAAACGAGAAGAGCAGCCAAGATTAGGTTCGAAGTCCCAGAGAGTGGCACAGATGGCTTAAAGAAGGGGAGATAATTCCACGTTCAAAGGAACAAAGAAACGGCTCGGATAAGGAGGAGTCGGTGTCAGGCGGCCACAAGCAGTGCCCCGCCTTAAATCTGCGGCTTTGGGACTTAGGCTCAAGGGCAAGTCCGTGTTTTGACGGTACTCTGGTTTGACCGGGCGGCAGAAATTAGGGGAACTCAGGGTACCCCTGATTCTGGGCATACTGAACCTTACGAGTAACCCTCAAAGATAGCGAGATGGGTGGGCACACTCGGCGTATCTAGAGACCGTCATTTCCGACCGCTCAGAGGGTTGGAGCCGGATTGGCCTGCCGCGAGGAGGCATCACGGGAACAGACCTCGCCGCGACGCTTTTGCAGCATATGCCCGGGGCCGAAATGAGGCCTCGAATTTTTGTCTATCTTAGTGTCATAATTAAAGATGGGGAAAAGGGATTAAGACCAGTAGGGGAGAAGGGAAAAACATAATATCCCTTAATTTCTTTATTTTTCACGGCATTTAATTCTAGGGGGAATACCCTTGTTATTTTATGTTCCCGGCAATGAAATTAAGAACATAGAAAAAGATTAAAAATGGTAAGAGAAAAAAAAAACAAAAGGAATTCGGCCATTTATTTAAACTCTCTCGGAATTTAATTTTGGGAATCTTACGGTTAATTTACTATTTCCGACAATAGAATTAAGGAAAGGGAAGAATGATGAAAAATGATGAAAGGGACGGGAACCCATGATTATTGGGAGRTTGGCCTAATTTCGCCTCGATTACCCGCCATCWGCTCTGACCCYGGATTGAAYATTTTCCCCGGATTTTAACAGTTTKCACTACTGCCGATGGTCGAGGTTCCCTGCGTCGCTTTCCCTGGTWTGCTTGATTACTAACATTACCGCAGTTGGGATGTTTTGAGAGCGGGAGTCGCATGGACAGCATGGGGTGGTGCTACCTTGGGTCGACTATGGTGTTTGGTTCGGTATGGATATGAGGGTTGTTACGGAATGGCTACGTCCTACGGTGTCTCACGTGCTTCAGGTGCGGTATGGGCCCGGTAACAGCTGTTTCACTACGGTGACTTATTTTCAGGTTTGGGACAGCTGCGGTGATTTATTCTCAGGACCGGGGCTACTACGACAGTTATTCCAGATTTGGAACCTTGGCGGCAGTTTGTTTTCAGGTCCGGAAACGTTGCGGCATTCTATATCAGGTTCGGGACAGGTACGGAATAATCATGGCATGGTTGTACGGGTTCGGCGTCCGCGTGGCACAGCAGCCCGGTACTGGATTTCGGGTTTGGTCAGGTTCGGTGACATCGCGGTGTTTCGTTTCAGGTTCGACGCCCTCACGGCGATTTATTTCAGGTTTAGGACCACTGCGGTAATTTATTTTCAGGTCCGGGACCACCGTGACGATTTATTTCAGGTTTGGGACCTCTGCGGTGATTTATTCTCAGGTCCGGGACCAATGTGACGATTTATTTCAGGTTCAGAACCGACAGAGGTAGTTCATTTCAGATTCGAGACCTTGGCGGCACTTTATTCCAGGTTCGGTGTTATCACGGGTATTTAACCCAGGCTCGGCACCGTAACTGCGACCATTTATTCCAAGGTTGGTGTCACTATGGCGCTTTATTTCAGCTTTGGGACCACTACGCCAGTCTACTGAACTAGGAATGGACATCAGGCGGGCGAGGTCGGGGGTGCCTAGCGCTGCAATTGACCGGGGGCTAGCCCCGAGCGATTTTGGAACAACGAAGGATTGTGACCCTCTCTGAGCGCCCTGCGTGAATACAAGGCCGAGAGCTGGACAGAGGGGGATATAGGAGGACGACCAGGCATTGTAGGAGGATGGCATGCCAGGTGTACTCAGCGCATCGCTGACTCGAGCCGCAGTGAGCCGGGAGGAGTTCGGTGCGAGGCAGTTACAGGAGAGACTCGGGGCGAACACGGTGTACCCGCGCAAGCAAGCTCGGGGTGTCGGCATCAGTGCTTGGACGGTTTCCCCGCGAGTAGGGATGAGAGGAGAGAGGTAGTTGAAAGTGTGCACGGTGCACGAGGAGGAGAGGTTCGGAGGTTGCTCAAGGCG